TAGAATTTTCTGGAAAGTTCTGAAGGCCATGGCTGGGAACAAAACACTGTGGGGCAGCGCTGGTGGTGTGGGTACAGCCTCACAAGATCAAGTCAGGCCAACCCTTCAGTGTTGGAGATTTTTACGGGTGGGTGGTAGACTGGGGTTTACAGTTTGTTTGGCTGCCAATTACAGCATATGCTTATCTTAACTCAGAAGAAAGCATAATTAATTAATCGACTTCACCAAAAAAACCTTTTTAAAAAAATTTTGTTCCTTCCTGCCTCCCATTATTTGGAAGTCCAGTTCACAAACTACACAACTCTAATCTAAAAGCCTTCTTTAATAAAAAGTATCTTTAACAATATTCATTCTCTTTAGAGGCTATTGCAATTTGACCTTCAAATATCATGTTTTCCAATGTATTCTGTTACTCTTTACCTGTGATAACTCAATCATGGTTTTAGTTTCTTTCTTTGATTGGCTTCAATGTCCCCATATTTTTAAACAAAAGCCTCCATAATAGTAAGGAAATTTCTTACTGCCACAGCGCCACCTACTGGTAGGCCAGTACAGAAGCAAGCTAACGGTAGCTTAACTTTGACCCACACTTTGGAGTCCTTCTGAGCTCTGGTTTTATAAAATGCCAATTTCTTTGTCATTCTGAGAAACTATCACTTCTCTTGATAGCTATTAAGCCTCTTGCTGTGATATAAAGTCAGCAAGTTATCCTTAAAAAATATGCTCTTATTCTTACTGTTACCTTAAATTGGCCCTGACTTCACCGACTTTGATTTTCTCTGTCCTATAACTGTAGCAAGGGCTCCAGATTGTGTGGGCAAGGGTTTGGATCTGGCGAAAATAACTTGGGGAGCTTCCAAAGATCCTGAAAAATGTAAAAAAAATCCCCACTTAACACTTTATTTGATCTTGGTGAAAGGACAAGAGGTCAAATCTAAAACTAGGTCTTAGGATAGGACAACAACGAGAGAGAAGAATAGCAAGGGACACTAGGCCTGGAAAACTGCCCAGAATATAGCATTAGGTGGCGGGTGACAGAAGGACCAAAGAAGGAAAGAGAAGATTGAGAAATACATAGAACATAAAGAAAGGAGAAAATAAACAGCTATGTGTATTTCAAGAAAATAAAACCAAAACCAAAAAAAAAAACCACAAAAAAACAAACCTAGGTTTTAGGGGATCATCGTTTGCCCAGGTGCTGACACCAAGTTTCCTGCCAAACACCAAATCTGTGCCCTTTGCTTTCTAACATTGTAAGAGTGGGTAATCAACCCAAATTCTTACCCCTCTGGCTCCGGGGAGAGAAGAACACTTTGGGAGCAATAAAGGATATAAGTCACTAGGGCAAGCATCTCAAGAGCTTTATTTATTTTCATTATTAATCTATTATACTCCAGATCCATCCAGGATCCATGACAACTATATAACGCTTGGTGAAAGGAATAAGAATCTAATAATAAAAATAGGTCATTCTGCTGAGAACTGCCAGGCAAATAATTTCGCTTGAAAATTAAAGTGATTTCTAGATCCTCAGAGTTTACGCTCCACTAGGTTTACTCTGTACTAAAACAAGTTCCCTTCTCTCGTCACATGGAGAGACAGTGAAGTGGGCAGTCAGAGTCACACTGATGTGCTGTTGCCCTGGCCCCATGCAAAGAAAGAGGATAAAGCTAAAGTGCATTTTACCAAGGCCCAAAATAACCGATACTTAACAAGGACATTGTTTCTCACTTCTTGTAAATGAAATCCAGCACTGGTGTTCAAAAGGCAGTAAGAATCCTTCCACCAACTACAGACCCGTAAGAGCTTTAAACAACAACAACAACAACAACAACAACATCAACAAACGGGGGTGGGGGGCAGGCAAAGGTTGGGCTCCAGGACAGAAAAGGCGTAGGCAGAAGCTAAGGCCAGGGATGAAGGCAGCTGGTATGGCCTCAGAGCCTATAAGAATGGTGGTTTACACTATCAAGTCAGCATGAGAGAAATGCCAGTTATCTAATCTGTGGCTCTCTGCTATTTTAGTTCACTATCGCCACTTCAGAACTCAAGAACGTCATGGTTATAAAGAACGGAGGCCAATGGCTTTGGCTTTGAGCCAAAGGCCCTCACTCTAGCGTCCTTCTCAAGTTTCCCAATTTGCTGACTCTACACCTTCCCTTCCATAGCAAAGTCAGAATGTTTAGCTTGAAGTAGAGAAGTCAAGGAAAAAGTAACATTCGTGGAGCATTCCAGGCCTTCTGCTAGCAGCTTTCACATTCACTACCTCATTTAATGTTCATAATTAGAAGAACAATGTCGCTAGGTCACCATCAGTGGGAAAGGATTCGGAGTTGTTTTTCAACAGTGTGCTGGGATGAACGAGTATCTCATTCAGGCGCCCGACGAACAAAGTGACACAGCTTTAAGGCCTGGTTGGCTAGACTTGTAGAGGGTCAAGGGGCCAGGAAACAGACTTTTGCTATATTCATGCACTCAATAATACCATGTTTAACCAACTGAGTTAACTGGACCAGACAGGGGCTAAATACCTTTCAAAGTCAGTGTAGCGATTCCTGTTGAGGTACAAACGTCCCATCTCTGAGAGACATGTAAACTTTGACTTATTATGGGGGTTGTTCTCCCTTCTTGTGGGTTTAAAGAAAAATGTTTCTAATAGCAACCTACCCTCCTTTTTGTAGGACACCCTTCTGAACCCCTAGAATAACACCTTTAAATCTGCGTGTCATATAGAAAAGCACATGCTTTGTAGTTGAAACACTGGAGTGCCAGGTAGCTACTTACTAGCTGTATAAATAACTCTAATGGGGTTAGTTAGCAATGTACCGCTAAGGCAAAATGTTTATTAGGAAGTATGGAAAATGCCTGAGACTCACTATACCATGTTCATCAGTGTTTCTTTAACTGAGCATCAGGAACACCAGGAAAGACACAGAATAGAAACAAATTCAAGGCATGTTAGAGGCCCAGAGTCATTGGAGACAAAAGCAGTAAGCAGCAGGCAGCCTAAATAAGGCGAGAAGAACACACTTGTCTTAAGGCAGAAGCAGGGAAAAGGTAGATATTAGAATCCAGGGAGATACACAACTTCTCTTTGCTCTGCGACTTTGTGCTGCTACTGAATGCATTACAACTGTTAGAAAATCTCTTAACAGATAACTCCAGTCAATAAATATTAATTCATGATCGAGATGCTGAGAGTATGAGCCACCTGGCTCCTCAAATTTCCAACTTCCCCAGCCAGAGCGCATGCAGAGAGTTCAATTCTGTACTTAACACATCAGTTAGACATGCAAATGCAGTAGGCAGGTTTCCTGCATCTCCTTTGCTTTGCAACCCTCTCTGGCTGCAGCAATTTGCTGGATAGAGATACTCAGCTGTCTATAGTGCAAAATTCTCCCAGCCACCCATTTCCCAGGCCATAACAGTTCCAGTGGGAAGTTTTACTTCCTTAAAAATAACGACCATATTCTAGTAATTCTTTTTGGGGGGAGGGGAGGGGCAAGTAGACACCCATCAAATATTTCTTGAATTCAGGCTCTAAGATCTTAAGTGGAGAGCAAAATCTTTATACTCTTGTATCATTACCTGCCCTGGGTGTCGTTATAAAGCCTTTCTCTGTATATTGTGTCCTTTAGTTCCACAGTAAGCCTATGCGGTATATGTAATAATCCCCATGATACAGTCTAACCAGGCTTCGCAGTGGTCTTATAATCATTTGAAGGTCTATTATGTCACACACACACACACACACACACACACCCTCCACACCCTGGCCCTAGACTCCTCGATGGATGCTTCTTACACTCAGAACTACGTTCCCTACATGGCTCACAAACCGGCCCTGTTACCTCTTACGACCTCTTCTCCTGCTGCTCCCTGCCCATGCTCTAGTCCCCAGCCATGGTGACACAGGAGGGCTCGCAGACAGCGCATTTGCACCCCGCTACCCCCCGCCCCCGTTTGTGCAGGCCTTGTTCCCTCTTCCCGAAACTCCTTCGGCTCCATGCCTCCCCTCTCCTGGGGGACCTGTCAACGTGCAACCCTTCGCTTAGATGTTTCTTCCCCTAGAAAGCCCAGGCCAAGTCGCTGGGGTTCCAATACGGCCCCGCCATTTACTAGCTATGAGATTTTGGATATGTTTCATAATCTATGCCTTTATTTCTTCAGCTGTGAAATCGGGAACACAGTTCCTGTTCTATGCCTGTTTCATGAACAAATGAGTTATCACATGTAAAGCATTCAAAACTGTCCCGGACACACCAGATGTTCAGCCAGTGCTGTCTACAGTTATTCTATGCATCCCCAGTACCTGAGATTTACCCAGCCTGGAGCCACTCCCTGCTGACTCTCTTCTCTTCCTGAGTCTGTAAGGTCCCTGACCACAGGGTCTGCCTGGTGCACCCTTGATGTCCCTCGGTGCCCACCATCTCACTTTCTCCATGGGAGGTGCTCAGTAAGAAATATTTGTTGAATGGAATCCACGTGATTTTAATTTTCTGATTACTTATTAGTATGCTTTTACGAATTGGTCCTCGCAGAAAACTCCCCCTGGACCAATGCTGTCTGACTTATACGTGGGTACCTACACTAAGAGGCTTTAAGACCTCAGTAAGCACCTGGCAATAGACCAACAGGCCATTACATTAGCACGATAGGACCCCGATCAAAGACCACAGCTCCATCGTGCTGAGGAGTTAGTGGGAGATACTGCATGTGGGGATCCTGTATCAACAGTGGAACACCAGTCAGTTACGGACCTTTTTACTAAATGCTGCAAATCTGATTACACTCTCCCAGACCGAGAAATGTCATCTACCTCAAACTAGTTCTGGAAAACCATTCCATCCTCAAGTGCCCATCTGCCAATGCTTCAAAGGCCCGGATGCTTCTTCGTTCTTTGAACTGCATGTTTCTCCAGAGGCAGAAGTGAGAATATGCCCAGCGCGGCACCCCGCCCTGTCACCCCGGCCGCGGAAGGAGCCGGTGTGCCCACTAACCTGCGGAGCTGGTGATGGGCGCAAAGGCCGCAGCGTTAAAGCTGCTCTGGAGTCCGTTCAGCTGCCCTTCTGTGGAGGAGCCTCTGAAACACAAGCAGCTTGGTTAGATCAGCAGACGGAAGGCTGAGATCAAACACACGCTCTCCAACGGCTCTGCCTCTTGCTCTTGGTGCGCTCTCATGTGGCTCGTTCCCTTGCTTCCTTCAAGACTTTGGGCAAATGTCATCTTATCAGAAAGGACTGCTATGACCAACCTATCCCTTCTTCTGAAATATGAAAATGTCTTGCCTATCTCTCTCCACTGGAATGTAGTTTCAAGAAAGCACACGCTGTGAATGGGGCGCCTGGGTGGCCCAGTTGGTTAAGCGACTGCCTTCGGCTCAGGTCATGATCCTGGAGTCCCAGGATCGAGTCCCGCATCGGGCCCCCTGCTCGGCAGGGAGTCTGCTTCTCCCTCTGACCCTCCCCCCTCTCATGCTCTCTGTCTCTCATTCTCTCTGTCTCAAATAAATAAATAAAATCTTTAAAAAAAATAAAAAATAAAAATAAATAAAAACAGCAGCAGTGACAATAAATGGGGGATAACCGGGAGTAGTAGAAACTGTTAATTTGGAGTAGCCAGTACTAATCTCTTGATGTAGACCTTGTCGCCACATTTAATTTTTCATATGAAGTCAGAAATCCAGATTTTGATGTGAAAGCTCCTGATTTTTAAATATTACTAATTCAGGGCGCCTGGGTGGCTCAGTCGTTAAGCGTCTGCCTTCGGCTCAGGTCATGATCCTGGAGTCCCGGGATCGAGTCCCGCCATCGGGCTCCCTGCTCGGCGGGGAGTCTGCTTCTCCCTCTGACCCTCTTCCCTCTCATGCTCTCTGTCTCTCATTCTCTCTCTCTCAAATAAATAAAATCTTAAAAAAAAAGAAAGCGAGCACAGGCTGTGACCACTGCTGTGTCTCCAGTGCCTACAACAGTGCCTGGCACCTCATAAGCACTCAACAAACATTTGTTTATCAAATGAATAAATGATGTTCCCAGTATTGACTTGAATAAATCAGGAGTAAAGGCATTTTTAAAAAACCAAGTTTCATGTGGACTGGTGATTCTCAACTGAGGTACAAAGGAGGGACAGATTTTGCCCCCACCCTTCCACAAGGGACATTTGGCAACGTTGACACATCTGTGGTAGTCACAACTATGGGGCCTACTGGCATCTGGTGGTATGAGCCAGGAATGGTGCTAAATATCTCCTACGGTACCCTGGAAGGTGCCCCCAAGCAATTTTCTAGCCCAAGACATCAACAGTGCTGAGGTTGAGAAACCATTATAGAGAGGCACCTCCCCTTATGTCAACTCGGACAAGAGACAGGACAAAGTATACTGGATGCTTTGGGCCCAGATTCCCCAGCCACATGTCTTAGAAATTCTATGATTGGGCGCCTGGGTGGCTCAGTTGGTTAAGCGACTGCCTTCGGCTCAGGTCATGATCCTGGAGTCCCGGGATCGAGTCCCGCATCGGGCTCCCTGCTCGGCAGGGAGTCTGCTTCTCCCTCTGACCCTCCCCCCTCTCATGCTCTCTGTATCTCATTCTCTCTCTCTCAAATAAATAAATAAATAAAAAATCTTAAAAAAAAAAGACATTCTATGATTAGCTTACAGACCATACCGGGTCTCCCTATGACAGGCTCTTACAGATTTGTAATTCTTTCATTGCATTTACCAAAATTATGGGACTGTGCAACTGGTTGCTTAATATGTTATCCTTGCTAAAAAGCTCCATAAAGACGGAGACTGTATCAGCCTTATTCACTGTTGTATCCATAGCTCCTAATATCACATTTTACGCACATTAGGCATTTATTATTTTAAAAATAATCTCGGGGCGCCTGGGTGGCTCAGTCATTAAGTGTCTGCCTTCAGCTCAGGTCATGATCCCAGGGTCCTGGGATCGAGCCCCGCATCGGGCTCTCTGCTCCGCGGGAAGCCTGCTTCTCCCTCTCCCACTCCCCCTGCTTGTGTTCCTGCTCTCGCTCTCTCTCTCTGTCAAATAATAAATAAAATCTTTTTTTTAAAAAAAAAATCTGATCCATTGTCCCATAAATACAAATTACTTGTTGGACCCATATCTACCTTGACTTTAGTTGATGTGTGAAAATTTTACCTTGGAAGATTAAAATTTTCATATGCTCAATTCTTTATTTGTCGAGCAGCATCCAATCCGACCTGTGAAACCCTTCTCCTAGCATTGTTTTTCCATTTATTCATCCACACAAAAAATACTTCTTAAGTACTACCTCTGCTTGGTGCTAGTGAGGAGGTAGAGATTAGGCAAGTACATGAGGTACAAACTATGTGATGAGTGCTCAGGAGAAAAAGCACAAGGTGAAACAAGGGAACCTGAGATGGCGATGAGAGTGGTCAAGGATGGTCTTTCCAAAAAAATTGTATTTCAGCCGAGTCATGAAGTTATGAGAAGCAGGGATTGGCCAAGAGTAGGGAACAGGTAAGAGCTTTCCATGGAGAAGAAACAGCATATACATATAATGAATCTGACACAGAAAGGGGTTTAGAATGTCCTAGGAGCCTTTAAAGACCAGCCAGGTAGAGGGGTAGGCAAGCAGTGTCTGCCAAACATCCTTGACAGGAACCACCTGGGATCACTTATTAATCATACAGCTTTCCAGGCCCTTCCCTTGGAGATTCTGACTAAGTGGGTCTGGGATAAAGCCTGAGAACTGAGGCTTTTTATAGCTCCCCGGGTGTCTAAGTGATCTCTATCACCAGAGAAATGAGGAAAACGTGACTCGTGGGTAAGGGGAAGGTGGTACGAAGAGCACTTAGACACCCTGGCAGATGCTTAGGTACTCAGGTGGTCCTTACACCCCCAACAGAGACATGCCCCTTGAGAACACACCCCAGCAGTGATGCGAGGATCACACACTGTCTTGTACCCTTCCCCTCCAGCAAGCTGCGGTCTGGGCCCTACCCACTCCTTTCCACTCTCATTTGGAGGACAAAGGAACCGGAGACAAAAAGGAGAAAGGAACAGAGGGCTTCTCCCTTTTCCCATAAGCCTCAGCCTCAGAGAGCTACATCTGAATGCTTATGCATTTTATTTCAGCCCTTTATGGACCCAAAGACCTATCCAAAGCATCTGTAGCTAATATTGGCTCTTCCAGGTCCAAGTGAAAAAGGAAATGTTCTGGAGCCTGGGATGGGCTCTTTCCTCTATAGAAGTTAAAAACCACTCAAAATAACAAACAAAAACAAAAACCTTAGGGCCACTTGCCCGCATTAGGGGCAGTGGAGTCTAGAAAAGCCATGGGGCTGGTCTCAGGATCACAGAGGAAGCTCTGCGTGTTAAACAGTAAAAGGGAAGCAGGCAGGCAAAACACTGGAGTCTGTAGAAGAAACAAAAGCACTGAACAGGGAGCTACCTGAGGGATGAGCAGTCCCTAGGTGTTTACAACTAGTGAGTTCAGGATCCTCAAACTCTTTCTCCTCTCCTCTCTGGAATTCTTATCCCACCCTTCACCCTCATGGGCTTCCTTCTGTTCCTCTCCCAACATCACCTGCCCCTCTACGTCCGTCCCCTTTGTCCCCAGCGCCAGTCACTCTTCCATCCTCCTCTCTCCATCCATTCCTATCACAGGCCTTGGGACCCACCTCTGATTCTGACTGAACATTTCTAATGATTCTGTTTCTAGCATAGGCTCCCCATTTCCCCAGTGGTGGAGAAATGTGTCCAGCAGCCGTTCAGGAGGAAATTCAGAGTGAATTTTTCCATGAAAACACTGGTACACAAAATGGTTTGGGTCTGTGTTTTTACTACTTCAGGCACACCAGGGGTAAATATGCTTGTGTTACGATAACATCATTTCCCTGGGAAAATACATTCCAGTTTCTGGACAACCCACTCCTAAATGAGAACTTTTGAACCACAGCTTGTTTAGGGCCTGTATGTTAATTTGCTCTTGCTGGTCTGCTTCTGCAATCATTCTTTGCTGGTTTCCTGGGAGCACCTGTGTTTTAGGAAATAGTTACACAGGAAGGTACGTATGTGTTCCCTTGCTTGTCTAAGTCAGTCACTGTGCTTTAATGTCAAGATACCTCATAGGGTTGTTGAGGATTAAATAAGATGGTGAATCTTAGTGCAGTGTCTGGGATTATATTAATGGCTAAATAAACATTAACTTTTATTAGTATTTGGTATTTTTACTTGGAAATACTAACCATCTTTGCATTTGCTATAAGCCTATGAAGTCAGGTGACTCGGTGACTCTGATTCAATGTGGAATATGAGTGCTAAGCTGTAGAAGAAGGACCACGACATATTCAGAACGTAGAAGTTAACAGCAATTTGCTATCAAAATCAAAAGGTAGTTAAGTGGCAATCTACCAGGCAGCAATCTCATGGTCAAAATTACTCTTCAACTCCCTGAAGAAGAGAGGTCTCATTTGAGATTGACAAACTGCCTCTCAATAAATCCAATATACACTTTTCAGCATCAGAACAAACCACCATTTCTTCAGCTGTGCACCAAATACAGTAGCTGGCCTGTCATCTAACGTGGCTCTCTGTATGAGAAGAACACACAGCCCAGGGGGAGGCTTGTGGGAAAGGAGACAGATGGGAGGAACGATGCACCTCCCACCCCATCCCATCCCAACAGGAACGTCGAATGGAGTCTGGTGCTACTGACATTGCACATTCCCTGTCTCTCTGGAGAGCTGAATGTGCAAAGCTACACGTTCTGTCTGGTGCAGTCCCGTTACCTGGTGCTTGCTGACCATAGTACATAAGGAATACGAAGAGGCGGCTCTAAGATGAGCTCAGAAAAGTGACTTCTAAAAGTATCAAGAGTTTTGCAGAGAGGAATACTGAAAAGATGGGACAAGAAAAGTGCCAGTAATTTTATACTATACAGAAGTTAGAGTTTAAACCAAGAAGAGTGCTAGATGTGACTACGTAGTCCCATGGTGTTAATTGCTCTTCTTGGAAGTGGTGTGGGTTCCGGGAGATGCAGGAGCCTGAGATATAGCCCAAGGTCGAGAGTTTGAGGCTTCCTACAGTCTCAGCTGTGGT